GGGAGCTACACTGTGCATGCACTGAAGCCATGACCTGAATAGCCACACAAAACTATTTGTGTCCTCGTTCGAAAGCAAACCACAACCGAGCAGTGTTGATTGTCCATGGTGATTGACGCCAACGAAAGGAGCAAAAGGCATATCATACTTATTTGTGAGATACGTTGTATCAAACGTGACCACATCGCCGAATTCCTTGTATGCCTGCCTACACCTATTATCTGCCCAAAATATGTTCCTCAACCGCGATTCATCATCCAAATCAATACTAAAATAAAACCCCGAGCAATGTGCTTGCATATTTGAAAAATATGCTTGTATTGCGACGGCATCTCCTTCTCCGAGTCTTAACCGTCTCACTTGTTCGATGTAGTTCCGACAATCCTTTTCCACACAAGTCATATTTTCGTATCCGCCCGCCTCAACAACTGCGGAATTATAACTTTTGTGCAACGGAATTCCCGCTACATCGTTCACTTCAAGCCTCCGCTTCACCTGTGCACTCAGTTCTCTATTGCATCGAAACAACCTGGATTTCGATGGGCTTGTTCCATGATTGTGGTCGAGGTGGACTGCATTAATTCTCCAAGATCCATGATCATCTGAAGATGCGCTTATCCGGGCCTTACAATTGGTTTGAATTGTTGGTTGTGGCCTTACAGATCCGGTAGCAGTACTTGGCCTTCGACCTTCACGGCCACAAGTATATGTCACAAATCTCAAAACTCCACCGGCCCCTTTTTTTGAATTCTTTTTTTTTACGGGAAAACCTACGCTGTATGCATATTCTTTGTACAATTCAAACATTTCATTCTCATTGCTAAATATCATTCCGATCTTAGGTACGACGATACCATCATCTCCTAACATTTCATCTTCCACTATGTTCCTGTTCTCCGCAGCGATCTCATCCTCAGTTTCCAACAAAAAATCATCAATGCCACCTTCCATATTATTTCCTGCGTCCAGTAATGAAGCAAAAATTGTATCGTCATTATTATGCATAAAGATTGAACATTCTAAGTAAATTGTAAAATAAATATAGTTTATTGGTAAAATTTCAAAGATCTAAGGTTCTCACTGCTATCAACAGACTGAATAAGCTAATAAGAACTAAAGTAAAAACCATGATTTTAACTTCCAGGTTACAAGCTTCTCGTTACCTTTGGAGTTTCACAACCTAAAGAACTAAAGTAAAAACCATGAAATCCAAATTGTTTGAACAGCATTATTGTAATAACAATAACCAATGCAGGACATGTTTTTCATCCCCATTACAGAGTTTTTCTTTTCTTTAACATTGGACGAAATGCCATTTTACGCTTGCAGGGCAGTTCATGGTTTATCATCCCCATTACAAATTTTTCGTTTATTTTAATGTTGCAGCTTTTGTTAAATATCTCCATCTCCACTGTCATTCAAATTTTTTTTAAGCAATGACATTTTCCATGCTTTGCAAACAACAAATTAAATATATCGAATTGGAAAATTTTGAAGATGACATTTAACAGTGGGTCACCTGGGTTCGACGATGTCGGCGAAGACATGCTGTTCGGAGGTGCTACCAGATTCGAAGAACTGGCCGGCGGGAATGAAGGCCCGGGAGAGAGGGGAATGAGGGAAAATGAGGAGGGAAAATATTGACTTCCAATTTGGGGGAGGAAAGGTTGTACCAGTGGTCTGCCAAATTTGTTCCGTTTTTCAAACAATTTCTACTGTTCATTGATGTGCCCATTATTAATTTTTTATTACCTGTTCATAATCTGTGCAAAGGAATCTGTTCGAATAGCATTATTCCCAAAAGAAACACTAAATTCCTGATATAATTTTAGTAATGCTTGGATGGGATATTACTACAGTCCAAACATTCATAATTAGGCATGGTTACAAGTCAATTCATGTCCCTTCAAATAACATTTTTTTATTGAATTTTGCTACTCGATCAAAGGCTGAGGTGTCACGATTTGAAATTTGAAATTAAGAAGGGCCTGTCACATGCCCTATTTGTGTACTCCTCATTCCTCCAGTTTTCTTCTTCGTGTACTTTGTGTAAATCCCTTAAACTTTTGTTTTTTGAGTGTTAATCTATCTATTGAGTCTTTGTGATTCTTCGATTTATGATTGAGAAGTTGAAATCATAGTTAGGGTTGATTTTTGTTCCATTTGTTAGGAAAATGTTGTAATTTGCTATCTGTGACCAAAAGGACCAATTTGTCAAGTTTGTAAGGTCAAGGACTAATTTGTAAAGGTCTAAAAGTTCAAGGACTTGTGTTGCAATTTAGCAAAAATTATGTTATAGGTCTAGGGTAAAGTTGAGTGCCTTGAAAATGAAAACGGCGCAAGATCACGCTAGAGTTTCGCCCTGACCTCGCTCGAGCCTAAATAACAGAACCTATCTCGCTAGAGTTTCGCCACTGCTTCGCTCGAGCGAAAGTGCGTCGCTAGAGTTTCGTCGGCACTTCGCTCGAGCGACAGTGCTATCCGACTTTTGGTAATTTTCTTTCCTTGCAATTTTTAGACGCTCCATACTACCAAAAACGACCTCATATATATTCAAAAGTCCCGTTTTTCATACATAACCTTTGGAAAAACACGTTTGAAAAATTTTTCCTCTCAACCAAAGGATCAACTTCATAATTCCTTCTTTTCATCATATGTCCTATTGAAGAAAAACATCAAACACCTCTTCAAACAAAACACCTTTCAAAAATCCTCACTATTTCCAGAAGATCGACTAATTGAAGATCCGGGAAGGAGATTGATTGAAGAACTGAAGTTCTTGCTGATTCACGGGAAATAGAAGAAGAACAAGGCTGGGATTTTAGTGCAGATTTGCAGAATCTAGGAGAGCTTTGGTTGATACAGTAAGGAGGTCAGAGTGTTGTTAGATACAGTCATGTTTGGCGTACTGTAAGTTGAAGTCTTCTATAGTGAATCCCTATTGGCTTGTGCTCGAAGTTTTTACCCAGTTGGGTTTTCTCCGTCAACAATTTGTTGAGTTATTTATTGCTTTCTGTTATTTTTCATTCAATTGGAAATTCAACATAGGTAATTAAATCATGTGAATGAATCTGGATAAAATTTAATTTATGTAACTTGTTGCATAAGTTCATTGAATTGTTAAAATTCGCATAAACATTATTCACCCCCTCTCTAGGTGTTGTTTGGGTCGAACTATAGTCTTTTCAAGTGGTATCAGAGCCAAATCTCGAGTCCTGACCCATAGTTGTCTAGATGAGTCAATCACTTTCTGTACCTCCATATTTTGACGGAAGTAATTATGCTTACTGGAAGGTTAGAATGCGTGCGTTTCTTAAGTCTCTAGATGAGCATGTTTGGGTGAGTGTGCAAAATGGCTGGAAACCTCCCTCTACTACCGTATCAGGGACTGTTAATCTTACTGATATATCACTATGGACTAAGGATGAGATAGCTGAGTGTAATTGGAATAGCAAGGGACTTCATGCCTTGTTTATGGCCGTGTCTCCCGAAGAGTTTAGGAGAGTGTCAATGTGCGAAACTGCTAAAGAAGTTTGGGACATTCTTGAAACTACACATGAGGGAACTAAAATGGTAAAGAACTTGAAATTACAAATGCTAGCTTCTAGGTTTGAAGAAGTGAGGATGAAGGATGATGAAACCTCTGATGAATTTTATGCAAAACTGAATGATATTGTTAATTCTAGTTTCAATCTAGGCGAGAGAATTCCCGAGTCTAAAATTGTTAGAAAAGTACTTAGGTCCTTGCCCGAGAGATTTAGGCCTAAAGTTACCGCCATTGAGGAAAGTAAGGATCTAGATGAAGTTAAGATTGAAGAACTTGTAGGATCCTTGCAAACTTATGAACTCACTGTCACACAACCTAAGAAAGGAAAGTCCATTGCTTAAAATCCATCAAAGAGGATGAATCTTCTGATACTGAGTCTCTTAGGGATGATGAAATTGCATATTTTGTTAAGAAATTTAAAAAGGTTCTCAAGAATAGGAGAAAGCTTCAGGATAGAAAAAGTGGAGCCCCTAGCAGCTTCTCAAAGAAAAAAACTGAAAGGTTCAACAATAAAGGTTATAGTGATAAACCATGTTTGGTTAGGTGCCATGAATGTCAAGGTATAGGTCACTACAGGAATAAGTGTCCTAGTTATAAGAAGAATCAAAGAAAAGGGAAAGGTAAGGCCTTAGTTGTTTCACTTACAGATAACGAATCTGAGTCTAGTGATAGGCAGGAATCATCTAGTAGTGAAGATGAAGGGAACTATATGGCATTTGTGTCGACTGTTAAGAGTGAATCTGATAAGAAGAGCGACAAAATTGTGGAAGAACTTTACAACGATAATTCTAGTAATGAAGATGAGGATGATATAGACATACAATAGGCCTATCAACTCTTGTTCAAGGAGAGTCTTAAAATCAAAAAGGTCAATAAAGCCCTACTCAAAAAGGTTGATGAACTTGAAAGAGAAAAAGAGAGACTTGCTAGTAATCTTCAGAATTCACTTAAGAGTGTTAGTAAGTTAAAATGTGTTAATGAGAAGTTAGAAGACAAGGTTAAGAGATTGACTAGTGAATTGGAGAAATCTAATGCTCATCTTCAGACTTTCATAAGTGGGACAAAGAAATTGGATGATATTTTAGGAATGAATAGGCCTGTGGGAGATAGGAAAGGTCTAGGATATGTTGATGATAATACACATGTTGCTGGTCCATCTAAGACTGTATTTGTTTCTGCCTCTAAAAAGTCTAACGTTGTCAGCAATGCAAATAAGGGTAAGAATGTTTCGAGGGAACAGAGTCATCAATCACATAGGAATATCATGCCCAGATACCCACAGACATTTACCTTTGAGCCTAGGTTCATTCCCACCTGTCACCACTGTGGAGCTCTAGGACACACTAGGCCTAGATGTTATAAGTTAGACAATGAGCGTAGAAATCTGAATATTCCTAGTTAGGTTAACTTTCTGTCTAATCAGGTTAGTCATTTGACTGAGATGCTTACTAAACTAACTAGGAGTACCTCGTCGTCTAATAAAGTTTGGGTTAAAAAGGGGGATCTAGCTAGACATTCAGGTCAGGTAAATTGTTATGTTGCTCATGTTGCATTAAAAGCCCAAAATTACAATATGTTGTACCTTGATAGTGCATGTTCTAGGCATATGTGTGGTAACAAGGCTTTATTGACTACTCTTGACGAATGCAATGAGGGTATGGTTACCTTTGGAGATGGGAGTTCTGCACCTATTCTTGCAAAGGTATTGTACAAATGCATGGATTACCTGTGATTTCAAATATGCTTTATGTGGAAGATTTAAAGTCGAACTTGTTAAGTATTAGTCAAATTTGTGATGCTGATTTTGAGGTTAGCTTTGTGCAAAAGAGATGTACCGTGTATGATTCATCCGGTGGGGTGGTCCTTGAAGGGGTTAGAACGTCTGATAACTATTATGGAGTCCTACCTAATTCTAACTATGTGTGTAGGAGTGCAAAAATTGATGTGAGTGAACTCTGGCACAAAATATTGGGTCATTTAAACAATAAGACTCTAGTACAACTGGCTAAAAAGGAGTTGGTAGATGTTTTGCCTAAAATAGGTCCTAGTGAAAATGTTGTGTGTGGACTATGTCAACTAGGTAAACAACTTAAGGGAAGCCGTAAAAAGACTTCTAAAATTCTGACCAAAAGACCCCTGGAATTGATACACATGGATTTAATGGGACCATCTAGGACTGAGAGTCTAGGATGTAAGCGGTATATTTTGGTTGTGGTAGATGATTTCTCGAGGTTCACATGGATAGAATTGCTTAGGGAAAAATTTGATGCGTGTGATCTTATAAAATCTTTGTGTAAATGGCTTAGTAATGAACTCAATCTCAAAGTGTCCAGAATGCGTAGTGATCATGGAAAAGAGTTTGAAAACTTTAATGTTGAGAGTTTCTGCATGGATGAAGGGATAC